AGAATGAGCCAAGTAGTTACAGGACTCAGTGGCCAGTATACTCACTTTATAAATGAATCTGGGTTTTGAAGAGGTGTTTTTCTAACCTGAAGTAGTGGAATCACCACATGTAACTCCGTGCATGTAGGGACCTCATCAAACACATCTCTATCACTGGTTGGAATGGTTTAAAGATGGTCCTGCCCAGGGTACTATTTAAAATTCAGAGGGCAGGGCTCCACCGTAACTTGCTAAAATAGAATCTCTTGGCATAGGACCTGGATCTGCATTTTGAGAAAATCACCCTGGTAATGTTGCTGTTTAGTTCAATTTGGAAACTACTAGAAAAAAAATAACCTCTCCAAGTCATCTTGTATATTGAATTTTATTATTCCTTCTGTGTTAAAGGGGGTTACAAATATAGTGCAGGTAACACACTCTGGAAACTGAGTCCTAGCAGTGGGCTTAGCATACTTGAGTGTTGTAAATGTGGGTGCAGTTTCAGCAACTTGCAAAACTGTGGAAATTGAGCAACACTCCAAAACTTACTTGAATTCCTGAATCTAATCAAAGTAGTAATGGATTTTGGCATAATTCCATGAATGGCTTGTTTTCTAATAAAACGAACAACAATGTATTACTCAAACTGAATATTTTCTGAGACATCATGGTATGGGGAAGGAGACATTGGGATTAGTGTCAGAAGAACTGTGTTTAGGTGCTGGCTCCACTGCTTGGCAAGTATTTGACCTTGAACAAGTAACTAAGTTCTATTTCTTCCAGTCTAGTTTGAATGGATTTACACATATGTTTTTATATTACCATGATCATACTATTATGTAAGTTTTTATCCTGCTTTTTTCACTTAACAGTACATTCTGAATGTTTTCTCATGTCATTAAAAGTTTTCAAAAATATAATTTTAGGGGCTCCATAATATTCCATTGTGTAGGAGTATCATAACCACTTCCTGTGGTTAAATATTTGTTATATCCAAGTTCTTACCATTATAAAAAACATTGTGAGAAACATATTTGCATACAAAATTTGTCTACATTCCTTAGAAGGAAATCTCAGAAATAAAATTACTGCATCTAAATGTATGAATAATTTTCCTGAGACACATTGCAAATTGCTCTTCAGAGAGGCTTAACCAACATGTACTTTTATCAGCAGAAACAGAATTTTCATTTCAATGTCAGCATAACCTTGCCAGCATAAAGCATTATTTTTTAAACGTTGCTAATTTTATGATTTATATATCCTTGCTAGTTTGATGGTCAAAATATGTCTTCTTGTTTTAATGTGTACTTTTTATCATGCTACTCACATTAAGTACTTTTCCGACATTTAGTACTGAGACTCCTCATTGGTAAAATGAGAAAAACAACCCTACTCATAGGGATATTGGAAAAATTTATGAAATGGTTATTTTGAATACCTCTTATGAATGCAATTATATGGTATATTCAAAGATAAAACTCTTATGATCTCAATTTAGTTGATAGCTATTTATATAAAGACAAATCAATCTCTCATGGGACATGGAGTTGAGGGCAAATCCCCTCCAGCTCCTTCATCCCATGCATTTCCATGTCATGTAATTAGAGTTCAGTAGCATTAAGAGCTGTAATGAAGGGAACTCAAATAAGTGACAAATGGACCCAGCAGCCTGCATGGTTATCTCCACATTGTTACTCTCAGTAATGGTAGGTGTTGGGGGTGGGATGACTTGGTCAATTTTATGTTACTCTGGGGCTCCAGTTACTTAACAGCAACTTTCCATAGCCACTTCCTTCCTCTTTACCAGCCAGGTCCCTGAGTCATTGCTCAACAGTAGGTCCCAGCAGCAGTTAGCCCTCTTGAAGCAAGAACCAAGATACTGCCCCTTTCTGAATACCCTAGGAACTTGTCTGCCTCATATAGAAACTGCTTGATTTCAACAGAATGAGAGCATGCACCAAGAGAAAGCTAGAATTCCCAGAATTCTTCTTCCTTTCCTTTCCTTTCCTCCCTCCCCTC